GTTTAAAAGTGGTACCCCGCCGAGCCACTAGCAGAAGCAAAGACTTGGGGTTGTCACTTAGTCGGGAACTTTCGGGAAACTGGGGTGTTCACATCTTTAGGAAGCAGAGAGTGTGAGTAGTTAATGCCTGGAACGTCAGGGTGAGGCGAGTGCTTTCATTAGGAGGACGTTGGGAGCCGTGGAGGAACATGACGTGATCAGGGATTTTTAAAAGTATTCCCAAAGCTCAGGGGAAAACAAACTAGGGTGGGGTGGAGATGATGAGGATGTTGGCAGGGAGCCCGGTGAGGAGGCCACGAACTCCAGGAACGTTGTGGTGGTGGCTGTACCACAACAGTGGCAGGGGAGGGATTGGGACTGGATAAATCATTGAATTCTGGAGAGATTTTAAAGATAGAACCAACAGAATTTTCTGGTGCGTTAGATACGGCTGTGAGTGAAAAAGGGATGTGAAGGGCCACCCAAGTTTTGTTTTGTTTTCCCCTGAACATCTGAAAGAATGGAAATGGGTAAGTTAGACGAGGGAAGCACCTTTCAGGGGGAACAGGAGTTGGACTTAGGACATGGTAAATCCATAGTGTTTCACAGTATTGGCGTTACATAGGCATTTGGATATGCTGGTCTGGAGTTCTGCAGAACAAGCTGGGCTGGAGACCTCTGAGGAGTGAGGTCTTATCAAAGCCTGGAGATGAGATTTAGGGGGAGAATGTTAAGGTTGTTATTTTATGTGGTTCCCTGAGGTGAATGAGTACAGGGAAAAGGGGTGGACGTCCCTGAGATTTCCTCCAGAAAGGAGAGGTCCTGGAATATGAAAGGGTTATGGGTGGTGTCATCAGGAGAGAGGGCTGTAGGGTATTAGGAACCTGACCTGAGATGGAGAGCAAGGTGTAAGGTGCTATAAATTTGTCACTCTGTGGACTCAGCATGCCCCTCTGTGGAGCCGAGGAAAATTCAGCCAGGCTAGTGGAGCAGCCCCACCCCAATCCAGGGCACTGTTACATCAGTTCCCTGACTTATTAGGTGAGGAGAGATGATGAACACCTCTAATGAAGGGCCACCAGCATGCTCACCTTCAGAGGAATATATACCAGGTAGGCTGGTTTGGTGAAACGGTCTAGTGTATACCTGGCAAGTATACGTTAGCAGGCAGTTAAAAATTAAAAATGTTTAGGCATGATAAATTTATATCACTGCTTAATTGATTGAAAAACTTGTCTCTAAGTATTTGATTACAGTGAAAATTCTTAAATATCAAGTTTTATTAAAGACTTAGAAACAAACCCAGAACTTACAAGAACTTATTATGTACTTCATTTGAGCCAAAAACATTTGCAAAACTGTTAAGAATGTGGATGGTAAAAGTTAATTCAAAGGTACTTGACGCCTACTAACACGTCTGATACAGACAGCCCTATTAGGTGGATACCACCATTATCCCTGCTTTGTACGTGAGAACACAGAGAAATCTTGGATCATGGTTACATAGCTGGTAGGAGGCAGCACTAAGGTCTGAGTATCTTAAGTTAGACAATCTGAAATCATCCTCACCAAAGGGCAAGGTAGGGATGAGAGGAACAGTTGTCTTTGAGATCCCACTGTGGTAACCTGCCTCTCCCAGCTCCCTCTTCCTGCCAGATTGCTGTGGTGGCAGAAGTGATTAAGATCCCTGCATAGGTGAGTGCAAAGTGTACAGGTCTTCAGTCAACCATGATCTTGGCAACCCATTATGGCAGATAATGGTGTCTTCAGAATCTTAACCTACCCTTCTGCCTGCCATTGGGTTTGGAAATCCTGGTGTCACCAGAGGCCTTGTGCCCTGCAAACTATTCTGGAATTATATGGAAGGGTTTCCATTTTCAGCAAGTAATGGGAAGAAGTATGGAACAGTGCCCATGGGAACCAGCATATGCAAATACATCACTTGAGACTGAACCGGTCTTGTTCGGGGAACTTTAGTTCTCCATTATGTCTAGTGATTAGAGAGCAGGGGACAGGTTTCATCTCTGAAATGGCAGCCTGTGGAGCTGGGCTTCTGTTCTGAAAGTGGTGGGACCCATGGAAAGTTTGGACCAGAGAAGGGAGTGATCTCATTCTGGTCAGGGTTTCTCTGGCTGCCCAGTGAAGAAAAGACTATGGGGGTAGTAAAGAGGACTGCTGATGATGGCTGGGCCAGAGTGGTGACTACAGGGGTAAGAGACAAGTGCTTGGATTCTGGTGGGGTTTGTTTATTTGTTTTTATTTTTAAAGTAGGACCAACCAGATTTTCTGATGTGGAGTGTGAGAGAAAGATGGGCAAGAGTCAGAGATGACCCCACAGTCTTTTGCCTGAGAGGACATAAGGAAGAAAAAATTCTCAATTGAAATAGTGAAGTTGGTGGTGAGAGTAACTTTCAGAGGTAATATCCAGAGTTAGGTTTTGATCATGTTGAATCTGCAGTGGTCCAAAGACATCTGAGTTGATGTATCAAGTGGACAGCTGGACACATGGGTTTGGAGTTCAGAGGAGGGATTCAAGTTGGAGACATCCACAAGGTGACAGCCAGTATGTGATTAGGGTAGAGCTGTGTATCAGATTTAGAGAGAGAACCTTTATGTCATGGTGGTAGTGCCTTTGAGGGTCTGGAAAGGAAGTGGGCACAGTGAAGTGGAAGTAAGAGTTACCTTAGAGGCAAGAAAAGGGAGGTTAGTGTCCATGGTGAGCAGGGAAAATAGGATCTGGCAGTTGATGAAAGGGAGAAAGTAGACATGAGATGAATGCTGAGGTAAAGCAGTAATAGAGATGACATGAAAGACCAAAGCTGTTGCTTCTTCCCCTCTCTGTGCTTTTCAGGTTTTTGTGGTGACCTTTGGTGGGGACTGGGGAGTTTTAGTTGAGCTGGTAGGTTAGTTCAGAGCTAAATTGGGTCAGCTGCAGAGTCACTATGTTTGGGGTAGAAGGCCAGTGGGTATGGGCTTTGAATGAGAGTTTAGCAGTAAGTGTTAAGCCTGTGACTGATGAGGGTATAGTATCCCCAGCATGCAGTAGCAAGGTGGAAAAGGTCTGGCTTTATCTCATAATCTGCATGTGCTTCTGAATTGCTGAAGCTTAATCAAGGAAGGAAGAAATTAAAAGCTGAGTTTGGAAATACCTATGACAGTGGAAGCTGTTGACTGGCGATGGATGTAACCCTGGATGCATTAACCAAGCATTCTCTGGATGCCATGTGGAGGTTTACATCTGGGAGGTACCTACTTTGGGAGCCTCCTTAGATAACGAGGGAGTTGTGGTCTAAAGAGTGATGTGTCCATGGAGATGGAATCTGAATTCATGGCCTGGGGGCTCAGGTACTGAGGGATTTAAGGGGAATGTGGAGGTCAAATTCGTGTATGAGAGGCATAATCTCTGGATCCCATGGGAGCTAGCTGGCTGGAGAAGTGTTGGTTCCTGCCTGCCAGGCCCAGACTATACAGTGTGTCTGTCTGTCCACTTGCTTGTTGTTCTAGGCTGGGTGAAATGATTAATGGAAAATGAGGAGAGAGGAGGCATCAATTACACCAGGGCCTGCTGTATTGTTTTGTGTTGGGGAGCTGGGGAGGAATGTGAAATTGTGGTGGATACACTGGGAATCCTGGGGAGAGAGGTTGCCCTTGTGCTGTTGTGCTGTTCATGTAGGATCATGTGACTTTTGAGGGTGTGTTTGTGTATTTTTCCTGGGAGCAATGGGGACCTCTTGATAAAGCTCAGAGACTCTCATATCACAATGCAGTGCTTTCTATGCTTTGCTCTTACGGCTTTCCTGGGTAAGGCCCTGCATATCCCAGTTTTCTGGGCTATGTTCTGCTCTTCCTGTTTTTCCCCTAGAAGTTGCAATTTCCTTCCTATAGCTGGACCGTGGGCACTCCCTCACATACATCCTCTGGGTGCCAGGTCTTGGCTGGGTATGCTCCCTATGCTTCCCGACTTCTGTTGCCCCAAAATTGCCATGAAGGATTTGAAGGTCAAGAGTCTTATGGTCAGCCCAGTAGATACTACGCTGCCTGGCCTCTTCCTGGGTGGATGGCTCTGTCTACACTCAAGATGCCTTTTTGCTCCAGATTATGTCTCCTTTCTTTAATTGACATTCCCTTGGGCCTATCTCTGTCATGAATTACAGTTATGGTCACTGATTGTGGGGCCTATAGATTGTTCCTTTAAGGTTTTCATTTTGTATTTAATCTCTCCTGGGTGGGCTACCCTGGGCCATTGCTTTCCTCTTCACTTGCCCTGTCTTTCCTGTGTGACTTGTATCTTCTAGATCCTCTGTGGTTGCTGAACTGTAGCAGGGGAAAGGTGAGTGCCTGATTGAGAGGTCCTGACTAGCCACAGCAAAAGAGACATGGACAGGCCCTGGTGAGCGGGAGCCTGGGCAGGATATAACTTCAAGGATGGGTTCAGATAGCACCAGAAACTTGTCCTATGCCCACTGCTGTTTTGTGCCCAGGCTATAAGCCATACCTTATTTCTCTTTCTCTCCCCATTCTGGACTCTTTACATACTTTGCACTTCTTTTCTGATCTGTGACCCAGGGCTGCCCACCCCACTCATCAGTGCTCTCTACTGCTCCCTCTGTGGTGCTCTTGTCTGTTGGACAATGCTAATGTGCCATGAAACATAAGCATGTACTTAAATAGTTTTTGAATATGAGTTACTCATTTTAAATCACATTTCCTGGGCCAGGACATAACATTTCTGGATAGTACTCACTTGTCACCAATAGTCAAGGCCCTTCTAAAAGTCATTTGCAAGGTGTGAGTCGGAGATCTTGCCTGCCTCTTCTCTCTCAGCTACACCCCATCCTGTGTCTTTGCTGTAAGGCCTTCCCCATTCTGTGACCCACAGAGTCCAGTACTGCACAGCAGCTCTTTCTTTAACCTAATCCCAAAGCTGTTGTCCTGCCAGCAACCCTGTGGACTCAATCCTGGGTGTGCTAGATGCTAGATACACATTTGTGATGGGATTTCCCATTCCCACTGAAGACAGCATGCTGTTCAGCAGCATTTTTCTGCTTTCAGGTTGTTGGCATGGAGTGGAGAATGAAGAGGCACCTTCTGAGCAGAGTGTTTCTGTAGCAGTGTCACACGTTCATACTTTCAAGGCAGGTTCATTGACCCAGATGGCTCACCCTTGTGACTTACGTGGCCCAATCTTGAAAGATATTTTGCACCTGGATGAACACCAAGAAACACACCATGGACTGAAACCTTACACATGTGGGGCATGTGGGAGACAATTCTGGTTCAGTGTAAACTTTGACCAGCACCAGAAACTGTACAATGTAGAGAAACTCTTAAGAGGAGACAAAGGCAAGACCTCATTTGTGAAGAACTGTAGGGCCTGTGAAGAACCTCACCTGTCAGAGAAGTCCTTTGCATGTGAGGAGGAGCAGAAGAACTTCCAGACCAGTTTGGGCAGTCACCAGCAAAAGGCCACCCACAGCAAGAGGAAAACAAGGAGCACTGAGAGTGGGGAGGCCCACCACATTAGACAAATGCATTACAAGTGCAGCGAATGTGGGAAAGCTTTCAGTCGCAAAGATACTCTTGTCCAGCACCAGAGAATCCATACTGGAGAAAAGCCTTATGAGTGCAGTGAGTGTGGGAAAGCGTTCAGCCGCAAAGCCACACTTGTCCAGCACCAGAGAATCCACACAGGAGAAAGGCCTTATGAGTGCAGTGAATGTGGAAAAGCCTTTAGCCGCAAAGACAACCTTACTCAGCACAAAAGAATTCACACTGGAGAAATGCCTTATAAGTGTGGCGAATGTGGCAAATACTTCAGCCATCACTCCAACCTAATTGTACACCAGAGAGTTCACAATGGAGCAAGGCCTTATAAGTGCCACGATTGTGGGAAAGTCTTCAGACACAAATCCACACTTGTTCAGCATGAGAGTATCCACACTGGAGAAAATCCTTATGTTTGCAGTGAATGTGGGAAGTCCTTTGGCCACAAATATACCCTTATTAAACACCAGAGAATTCATACTGAGGCAAGGCCTTTTGAGTGCACTGAATGTGGGAAATTCTTTAGTCGAAGCTCTGACTTTATTGCACACCAGAGAGTTCACACAGGTGAAAGGCCTTTTGTGTGCAGCAAATGTGGGAAAGATTTCATCAGAACCTCCCACCTTGTTCGGCACCAAAAAGTTCACACTGGAGAAAGGCCATATGAATGCAATGAATGTGGGAAATCGTATAGCTTAAGCTCCCATCTCATTAGGCACCAGAAAGTTCACACTGCCGGAAGGCTTTAGGAGTGCTTCCATCACAACAGAACTCTGGCGAGGAGCTCTGTGTCTGCCTTTAAAGAGGGAGACATCAATCATGTATCGAACCACATATATCTGGACATTAATACTGTGGAGTATTTTATGAATGCCAGGTGCAGGGGAAGCTTTCAGAAGCTATGTTGCACTTTCAGACCTGCTCAGGTTCCTTGCCAAATTTGTTAGTGCCTGTGGCTGAAACCATCTCAACTCAACCAGCTTAATTACCCTAATATTTTTAGGGGAGGCAGAACTTCATGCTCTCTTCAATCCCTGGAGGAAATTATAAGAAATCTGAATTAAATGGTGGTCCTCATTTGCTTCCCTCTGACCAGAAAAGGTATGGACATGATCCACCTTTAGCCAAGATGATCTAAGCTGTGCTGTGGTAGCAGAAAAGGTTTACTTTATTCATGGACATTGTTGGTCTCATGTGATACTTGTGATGAATTTTTCCAGCCTCCAAGTCACCCAGGCTGGGTAACTACTTGACTCATGTTGCTCTGGTTTGTGTGGTAATAAATACCTTATTATTTAAGCCACTTTTAATCTCGGAGGTTCTTTTTAGTGTCTGGAGTGGTTTATAAACCGTTAGACTCTGCCAAACTGAAGAGGTAAACTGTTTGTGGTGGGCTCCCAACTGTGTGCCTCAAATAGAACAGGTTGGCAGAGAACAGTTCTCAGTCCAATCTTGGTGTTAATTTCCATTGCTGACAAAAGCTTGGGTGAGAATTCAGGGCTTTGTGGGCCTGATTTTGTCTAGATTTCAGAGTTATTAGAGGGTCCAGACATCACCTTGAGTAGGGTGGTATTGTAAAAACCTACAACATGTTTGGGAGCAGCATGGCTTTAGTGTCTTGTTTTCACCATATATCCCACATTCCCTGGCACTGTTGAGGGGCAGCTGTTCCTCAGGACCTGCCAAGTGCCATATGCCCTGAAGGCCAGAATCTGGTACAGGAGTCACTAGCTGTAAGACTTACTGTGTCCAGGAAGGAAACAAAATTGATGCAGAAACACTGGGTGTGAACAACTGGGATTGGAGAGACTGCTGCAAAGGAGAATGGGTGTGCCCATGCTAAAAATACATCCATAAACATTCAAGTCACTATCGCTGGATGAGATCATGTATGGAGATTGTCATGCTCTCTGGGGCTGTCTCATTCTTATGACCAGGGTCAGTGGCAGAGCAAAGAATGTAGTTTTCCTCAATTTCTGTGCCTCCTTGAGCTCTTCAGCTGATGCTGCATGGGCAGGAACCCTGTGTGGGACTGAGAATACAACTGTAGTCAACATGCAGTATACTGCACACACTGTACAGTTTGGTAAGCCTTAATATATGTATACACATTTGAAATCGTCTAGTCATGATATTGGATATATCCATCACCCTTTCTCAATGCCTTTCCTAATACTTTACCTACCACCCCTAAGCAACCATTGATTGACTTTCAATATAGATAAATTTGCCTTTTCTAGAATTTTATTTAAGTGGAACCTTAAAAGTTTACTTCTGTCTTGCAATATGATTATTTTGAGAATCATCTATAGCTCATTCTCTTTATTGCTGAGTAATGTTCTATATGGATATACCACACCATATCAATATATCTTAAATGATATTTGGAGTTCCGTGCCCCCCAGATTCTAAATATTAAAAATAAAGCTGCTGCAAATATTCATGTGCAAGTCTTTTTATGGACATTTAGCTGAGGACATTTCTAAAAAGTGTTGAAAGTTGTGGTCTCATTTCTTCTTACTGATTATAGTAAAATGTGATAGGGAAAAGTAAATATAGGGAAGACGTGAAAAACAGAAAAGACCCAAGACTTGATGATTTGGGAAATTCTCAGCAAATTTTTTTTTAAGACCTTTTTTTTTTTTAATTTTTGGCTGCCTTGGGTCTTGGTTGCTGCACGCGGGCTTTCTCTAGTTCAGGAGAGTGGGGGCTACTCTTCATTGCAGTGTGCAGTCTTCTTACTGCGATGGCTTCTCTTGTGGAGCATGGGCTCTAGGTGCGTGGGCTTCAGTATTTGTGGCACGTGGGCTCAAGTTGTGGCTCATGCGCTCTAAGCCCGTGAGCCACAACTACTGAGCCTGAGCTCTAGAGCCCGCAAGCCACAACTACTGAGCCCACGTGCCACAACTACTAAAGCCTGCGCACCTAGAGCCCGTGCTCCACAAGAGAATCCAGGACAATGAGAAGCCCGCACACTGCAACGAAGAGTAGACCCCACTCACTCCAACTAGAGAAAGCCCACGCACAGCAACGAAGACCCAATGCAGCCATCCATAGATAAATAGATAAACAAATAAATAAATAAACCATGCTCTTTGATTAAAAAAAAAAAAATTTAAAAACCAAAGTAGGCAAAAGGAAAGAAAGGATAAAGAGCAGAAATTAATAAAATAGGTAATAGAAAAATCAGCGAACTCCAAAACTGTCCTTCGGATCAAGAGAATTGATAGATCTCTAGGTAGATTGATCAGAAAAAAAGAAAAAATTACCAATATGAAGAATGAAAGATGGAATAGCACTAAAGACATTAAAAGGATTATATGTGATATTTATTGATTTTGTTGCACCAGGTCTTAGTTGTGGCAGGCAGGCTCCTTAGTTGCAGCATGCAGACTCTTAGTTGCGGCATACATGTGGGATCTAGTTCCCTGACTAGGGATCAAACCTAGACCCCCTACATTGGGGGCATGGAGTCTTAACCACTGCGCCACCAGGGAAGTCCCTATATGTGATATTTTAAACACTTTCCAACAACTCTACAAAAACCAGAAATTGAGAAAAAAATTTCTTGAAATACTCCAACTGCTCAGGTTCACTGAGGAAGAAATGAGTAATCTGAAGTGCCCTCTATTATAGATATTGAATTGGTAGTTTAAAATTTTCCTACTATGATTTCATGCCAAGATGACTAATGACTTCTTCTAGACATTTAGGGAAGAAATAATTCCAATTCCACTCAAATTATTATTTTTTTTTAAGATGGAAGTCTTCTCAGCTAGTTTTGTGAGATTAGCTTTAACTTGATACCAAAATCAGGCAGTACTGTTAATAGCAAAGTGCAGACCAACACCCACATGTACATAGATGAAAAACATCCTTAACAAAATATTAGAAAATTCAAAACCCTGTCATAATTTGGGATAGAGATGATCATCTTTCAGGTGATTAAAGATGCAGTTTACTGTGAAAACATGGTAATACAATACCTGCATGTACCAAAACAGCTTCATGTGGGAAAAGCACAAGGGATAGAACTTCCTGGAGAAAATGACCAATCTGGATCTGACCCTGTGGTTGATCAGATCTCATTTCATTTGAACCACTGATGCTCTGTTTTTTTCTTTTACAAACTGCATTGTAAATACTATCTTTTCTATAAACAATAGTCTGCCTACTCCTTGGCCAAATATGCTCCTTGCTTCTTTCATGTCTCTTACTTTTGTGTGACAGTTTTTCAAGAGACTTTTCTGTACTCCCTGTTTTCCTATCCTGAACTCTTATTTCGTTTCTGTGGGATCTCACCCTGTCTTATGACTGATATACCATCTAACAGTTCTCAAATGGATGTATTCAGCCAAGTTACTTCTCCCAAATTTCAGACTTGTACCTAATTCCTACTGGACATTATCCTTAGATGTCTGGCAGGTACCTGAGACTGAACAGGTTCATAACCAAGCTCCTTCTTTTATTTTTCCAAATCTTGACTTTATTTATTTATTTTTTTTGTGGTACACGGGTGTCTTACTCTTGTGGCCTCTCCAGTTGCAGAGCACAGGCTCTGGATGTGCAGGCTCAGTGGCCATGGCTCATGGGCCTAGCCGCTCCATGGCATGTGGGATCTTCTCAGACCGGGGCATGAACCCATGTCCCCTGCATCGGCAGGTGGACTCTCAACCACTGTGCCACGAGGGAAGCCCTTGACTTTATTTTTTAATATAGAAAATGCACTTTTGGAAGCCAACCCTAATTTTCCCTCTAACATAATTCTTTACCTGTTAAACAAAATAAAGTACTGGGACTTCCCTGCCAGTCCAGTGGTTAATACTTGGCCTTCCAATGCAGGGTGTGCAAGTTCAATCCCTGGTTGGGAAGTTAAGATCCCACATGCGTCGGGGCCAAAAAACCAAAACATAAAACAGAAGCATATTGTAACAAATTCAATAGACTTAAAAATAAAGTACTAATTCTATGTACATCACATGTACCATACAAAAATGTATCCAAAGTTTCTATTTCCCTAAAAACCTACTCCAGGGGCTTCGCTGGCAGTCCAGTGATTAAGACTCTGCACTTCCACTGCCAAGGGCAGCGGTTTGATCCCTTGTCAGGGAACTATGATCCTGCAAGCCACATGGTGTGGGCAAAAACAAATAATAATAAAAAATTTAAAAAGTAATAAAAACCTACTCCAACTTCAACCTCCCCTATTTCTTTCAAGAGCACCTCATATTCCAGTTGCCCAGGCAAAAATTCTCAGACTCATCCTCAAAGCCTCTGTTTCTCTCCTCACGTCTATCATATAGGAGTCCCGTTGCCTTCACCTTCCAAAGCTACCAGGGTTTGACTACTTTTCATCATCCAACCTGCTCCCTCCGAGTCAGAACCACCATCATTTCACACTCAGAATCTTCTACATGGTTTCTGTGCTTCCACCTAGCCCCTTCCACAGCATTTTAAAAAATTTATTGGGGCTTCCCTGGTGGCGCAGTGGTTGAGAGTCCGCCTGCTGATGAAGGGGACACGGGTTCGTGCCCCAGTCCGGGAAGATCCCACATGCCGCGGAGCGGCTGGGTCCGTGAGCCATGGCCGCTGAGCCTGCACGTCCAGAGCCTGTGCTCCACCACAGGAGAGGCCACAGCAGTGAGAGGCCCATGTACCACAAAAAAAAAAAAAAAATTATTAATTTATTATTTAACTTTTGGCTGCGTTGGGTCTTCATTGTGCATGGGCTTTCTCTAGTTGCATGGAGCAGGGGCTACTCTTTGTTG